ATAAGCATGTCAGTATTATCAATATCGGTCAATATTTAGCGGGTGAAATTAACTCCGACTTTTGTGTGAAAAATTACAAAATGTTTATTCTATGTAGAACATATTTACTCCTGTAGCACATATACCCGAGGAGTTGATAGTACATCTAAGAGGTGTCGGATGGGTTGCAATGAACCGAAAACTTTATTTTTGTAAGATTTCCTAGTTGCTTCAGAGGTCATTATTATATATAGAGCATCAAATATTTTGCACAATGAAGGGGATCTGATACTTAGAAAGGCTGTTTCGATGATGATCAAGGTCAAGGTTTCGATGATGATCAAGGGTCAAATGAACGAAAACATAAAGTGATCAAGTTGTTATTTTATGGTGTAAATATTCACATCGGGAAAACAAGATTTGGAAAATATGCCAGGGTTAGAAAGTGATGCTCTTGACCTATAATTGATTAGGAGGTTGCAAATATTGCGAAATATTGCCCAGGTTCAGAATATAGAACCGCAGAAAGTTAGATTTGCGTGGTAGTTGTGTAGGATATCATATGGTCGGTCCCGGGAGCATTTGCGATAAGATTAACAATTTAATAAGAATGTGTATTAAAGAAAATATTACAAAAAACACCGAAATCTTTTCGTTTTATCAGTTCAGAGATCCCTAAATATAGACTTCACTTCCTTTTCTTGGAAAATATTAAGGGGTATTTTGCACTTCTGCAGTATTTTTAAAAAGAAAGCCGGTTGATATTTTAATTCCACACAAAACCGATTCTCCCTCTATCTGTCAATTGAATTCAGAGTTCTGCCAGCCCCAACAGATATTCCCCTGAGATATTCCCCTGAGAACTTACACCGATGAGACCGATATGAATACATAGTCCTTGCCATTGTAATGATCCATATTTTAAAATAACCCCCATAGAAGTTTTCAACCGGAGTGGCTGTAAATTGACATTCCGTGTTATTGGTGGGTAAAATAAAATCAGTTCTTCAAAAGTTTCCTATGTAGATCCATGTTTTGCAATAGACCATACTTCTGGGAATGTGTTATACGAGTATGTAACATTCCACCATGGCACCTCTGAAACTCTTCCTCTATAATTGTTATGGAAAATGGTATATGTAGGTCCCACGAAGTTTTCAATGAAATTTTCAAGCGATGTGACTGTTATTTTATATTTCGAACTACAGGTGGATATAAAAAACGTCTTCGCAGAAAATTTCTTATGTAGGTCCATGTTTTGCAAATAACCCCTATATAAGGTTACCGCCCATTTTCAATTTTTTCCTTGGTCCTTGGAGCATTTTTCACCCAAAGTGACTGTATTTTAACTCAATCCTATAAAAAAGAATTTGCAGTTTAAAAGACTTCACATAAATGTCCCGACCATTTTTGTTTTTGCTTTTCTATTACAGCGATATGACCAACAATTTTCATTTTTATTTCACCTTTTCAACCAATTGGGGGGACTCTTGTACATCGATGTTATGTAATTTTCGGAAATATTTTAAAGAACATATTTTTAAAGATCCAGCCAAAGGTTGGATTTAAAAAAAATATTTTTAAGGTCCAACCACAGGTGAAGACTTTTAAAAAATATGTTTAAAGGTTCAACCATTTCCAACCATGTCCAAGATTGTTTTACATATTTTTAAAAGTCCAACCATTGAGGTGGAGTTTTTAAAAAATATTTTGAAAGGTCCAACCACAGGTTAAGATTTAAAAAAATATTAATATAGACCCTGATTGAGCATATACCCTGATATCCCATCATAATCGTTAATAATTAATTAAAATTTTATATCACACCATTTCTTGGAACACCCTATATATAAGAGGCTTTGGATAACCTATAAATGTCATTAAAGTGTTATTTGGATGTCAAATGTTTTATAAGAAAAAAAAACAAAACGATATCTAAAATAATTGGAAAAAATGTAGTATACAAATATGTGTGTGTATGGGTGTATTCGATTTTTCACATTTTGTTGATGAATTTTGTTGTGTTTTGTTCGCATAAATTTTTAAAATGAAATTTCGGGTGTAAAAACGTTTATTTATTACTCTGATTTTTTGTTTGATAGTTGTTGTAATGTTTGTTGTTGTGGATTTGATGCTGCTGTCTTTAATATGTATGTATGTATGTAGTATATGTAATTATTTATAACTATGTTCGGTTTTGCTTATTTTTTTGTTTTATTTAATTAAGCCATTAATAACATTTTTTTTGGGGGTGGATAATTTGTGTTGTGGTAATGGGGGGAGGGGAGTTGGTATTTTTTGTTATTTTTTGTGGGAATTTTGGGGGGGGGGGTTAATTTTAAATTTAATTTAACCTGTTTAAATGACCTTTTCGTTTCGTTTCTGTCTGACTTTTAAAAATGTGTTTTTTTATTTTGAAAAAATTTTCCTAACTGCTGCTTACAATTTTCTGTTCGTTTTGTTTTCTTCTTCGTTTTAATTTATTAATTTTTATTTTTCAATGCAGGAATATTTTTTATGTTTTAATATTTTTTTGTTGTGTTGTGTTATCAGGAATTATCAGGATTTTTTTAAATGGGTTATTGTTTTTTTGAGATTTTTTTTTTGTATATATTATTAAATATATAATCTTTAACATGTTTTATTTTTTTTCCAGTTTATCTCATTAAATTGTACAATAATATGTCATAATTATATTTATAATTTAAATATTTAATCATTGTTCAGTTTGTGTGTGTTTTTTTACTTTACCTAGCCATTTTTTTTTTTTTTTAATTTCATACACATCATTATCTGCCTTCATAAATGATCGTAATCATTATTTATTTTTATTTTTTTATTTTTTTAACTCAATTTACTATACACAATTTTTGCAATATTTAATTTATTTATATTTAATTTATGTAAATATATATTATTAATGTATTATTATTATTTTTTTTATTAATTTCATCATCATCAGTTTTTTTTTTAATTTATTTTGCCTTCCATTTCATTTAGCTTCGCTTCGCATTTGTTCGCCTTAAACATTACTATACATATACATACACACGCACATTTAAATTTTATACAAATTATTTACTCGCTCCCTATAAATACATGTATATGTAGTAGGTATTTATATATATATATATATATATATATATATATATAGAAATGTTATGGTATGTTAAGCATGTACACAGCTTTATTTATTTATATATTTATTGGTATGTATGTATATATATGCAAGAAAATTGGAAATCATATAAAGACACATTTTTATTATTATTTTAATTATAAACAGAAAATATATATGTATGGGTGTATATATGTATATAAACAAGTTAGCAATTTTATTAATTTTAATTTATATTTAATACAGTCTCTCTGTGTGTATGTGTCAGTGTGTTAATTTGCGTATATGTGTGTATGTGTATTAATGTCCAAGTGTTAATGAGTTCACATTTCATATCAAATCAAAAATAAATAAACTAACATTTTCTTCGGCTCTAATAGAAATATAAATGCATTTTTAAGAACTTTTACATAATTATCCACAAATATTTATTGAATAAATCCCTTGAAAATGGAATTCGATTAGATTAGACCATTAATAAAATATGTAAATAATTTATAGTTATTTTATTTACATTATTTCGAAATAATGAAACTAATATAGTCCATATGTAAATATAATTAGTTTTTCCAAGAGGTAAATAAATATTCATATGGGGAAATTGAATTGAATTCTAGTAGGACAGAACTGGGATAGGTTAGGTTAGGTTTGGGGATGTGCAGTCACTTATGTGGCTGCAGCACTCTGAGACCGGTTAGGTCCGTTGTGATCATCCACAAGAAGATATATAGTGAAGAGAAGAAACAACACAGATCTGTAGGGGAGAGAAAATTAGGGAATTAAAGGAGAGAGAGAAAGGAGTTGAGAATTTTACATAATTAAATGAAGAAGGAATGAAGGTCGATGGCTCTAGGACAGAAGACAGACAGAAGATGTATTACATGTCAAGATTGTATGTTCCTAACCACTTTATGTTTCTAATCATCATGCTGTAGATTAGAGCAGGTTCGGTTGCTGAGAAGAACCTGAGACTCGGTAGAAAATGAGCACCCACTAGTCTATGCCGCCTGTAAGCCAGGACTGGGCAATGACACAGGAGATGCTCAATTGTCTCCGTTTCCTATTCGTCAACACAGAGTCTGCAGTAATCAGAATGCATGCCCAATGATTGGGACCTCAGCATCCTGTGTCCCGTGCACAAAAAAGGAGACAAGACGATATGTGCCAACTATAGAGGAATAAGTCTCCTTCCCATCGCATATAAAGTGCTATCCAGCGTGCTGTGTGAACGACTGAAGGCAATGGTCAATGACATAATTGGACCATACCAATGTGGCTTCAGACCTGGCAAATCCACCATTGACCAGATTTTCACTTTTCCAAATCCTGGAAAAGACCCACGAAAAACACATCGATCAATTGCATCAAGATCCCATTTACTAGTAAAAGCCCTGATGTTGCAGTGACCAGTAATGATTCCTGTCATCACTCTAATTTCAGCATTGCTCAGGTTCAACAGTGAGTGCGTTCTTTTGGTGGACAGAGTCGGCCAAATGGATCTTGACACGTTGCACCTAGGTTCGTTGTGTCAAAGTTCACAGGCTCTTTCTTAAAAGAATGCCTCAAAATTCCTATAAAAAAGACATATGGGTGGTTTGATTGAGTCATCAGTTTCTAGATCGATGGATTGAGATCCTCGTCTAGCTAGTTCGTCCGCTCTTTCATTACCCAAGATGTCTCAATGTTCTGGTACCCAACACAACCCATAGCTATAGGTAAGTTCTTGCAGAGCTGCTCTACACTTGAGGACGGCTTCGGAGTTGATGTAACAAGATTTGATGGCTTTAAGAGCCGCTTGACTATCCACAAAGATAGTCATCGGTTCAACGACCTCTGCATCCAGACTTTTTATCAATTCCGCTGCCTTCCAGATCGCGAAGATTTCAGCTTGGAAAACACTACAGTTGATACGGCAGAACATATACTAAAATTGGAACGATACAGAGAAGATTAGCATGGCCCTGCGCAGGGATGATCAAAAACTGAGATAATACAATCTCAATATGTAAACACATATACACACATACTTGAGAATTTAGATGAACAGACCACGGACATATTTTACGAGCGCCTAGAAACTGCATATGACCGTTGCCATGGCCATGACATTAAAATTCTGCTAGGAGATTTTAATGCAAAAATCGGAAGGGAAAATATCTTTAACCCCACCGTCGGAAAATTCAGCCTTAATGAAGAAACATCCGACAACGGCATGAGGTTCGGTTGACTTCGCGGCAGCAAAAAACATGATAGTTAGCAGCACCAGATTCAAGCATTTCGATATACTCAAGGCCACTTGGATTTCTCCTGATCAAGCAACGAGAAATCAAATCGATCATGTTGTGATAGACGGAAGGTATTCATCCCGTCTTTTAGACGTCCGATCGATCCAGGTAGCGAATATCGATTCGGACCATTACCTTGTGGCAGCCAAGGTACGCAGCCGTCTTAATGTAGCAGCAAAGGTGATGTAATGTAACACTGAAATTTGACGCCGAAAAGCTGCAAACACAACAGATAGCAGGAGCCTACTCCGCTCAACTTATCCAACTGCTTGATTAAAGCAACCCTTGTCCCGATAATAACATAGAAGCAAAATGGCAGAGAATTGCCCACTCCCTACATACGACAGCAAAAGCAACACTTGGGTACCAAAGACCACCATCAAGAAATCCATGGTACGATCAGGAGTGTCGTAATGCTACTGATATGAAAAACGCAGCGTATAGGGCAACCCTGCAGACAGTAGCAACACGTAATTCGAAGGAGAATTATCGGGAGAAAAGGAGAGATGAGAAACGTATTTTCAAAAAAAGAAGAAAGAGCAAGAGAAACGTGAGCGTGAGCAAATCGAAATGTACAGGAGTCAGAATGAAGTCCAAAAATTCTACCAACGGGTAAAACACCAAACCGAAGGCTTTGGTGCAGGCACATCCTTCTGTAGGGATAAATAAGGAAACCTTGTGACAGATACAGACAGCGTGCTGAGGATCTGGAAGGAGCATTTTGAAAAACTTCTGGTAGCGATGGAGAACTATCCGGAGGAAAAAAAGACGGAGAAGAAACGTATTTTCAGAAAAAAGAAGAAAGAACAAGAAAAACAGAATGAAGTCCGAAAATTTTACCAACGAGTAAAACACCGAACCGAGGACTTTGGTGCAGGCACATCCTCCTGTAGAGATAAAGAAGGAAACCTGGTGACAGTTACAGAAAGCGTGCTGAGGATCTGGAAGGAACATTTTGAAAAACTTCTGGTAGCGATGGAGAACTATACGGAGGAAAAAAGAGGGAGAAGAAACGTATTTTCAGAAAAAAGAAGAAAGAGCAAGAAAAACAGAACGAAGTCCGAAAATTGTACCAACGGGTATAACACCAAACCGAACACCAAAACCTGGTGACAGATACAGATAGCGTGCCGAGGATCTGGAAGGAGCATTTTGAAAAACTTCTGGTATCAAATAGTAGCAGTGAAGTGGTTACCCCAGAACCAATAACAGATGACGGTATAGAGTGTATGCCACCTAGCCAAGATGAGGTCATAAAAGCAATCAATCGGCTGAAGAATAATAAAGCAGCAGGTGTCGATGGGCTACGTGCCGAAGTATTCTGGTGGTCAGATACTGGTAAGTAACATGCACCAGCTGATTACTACATTTTGGCTAGAAGAATGCATGCCCAATGATTGGAACCTCAGCATCCTGTGTCCCGTGCGCAAAAAAAGCTGACAAGACGATAAGTGCCAACTATAGAGGAATAAGTCTCCTTCCCATCGCATATAAAGTGCTATCCATCGTACTGTGTGAACGACTGAAGCCAATGGTTAATGACATTATTGGACCATACCAATGTAACTTCAGACCTGACAAATCCACCATTGACCAGATTTTCACTCTGCGCCAAATCCTGGAAAAAACCCACGAAAAACACATCGACACATTCAACCTATTCGTCGACTATAAAGCCCGCATTCGACAGCCCTATCCGTTCAATGGTGTATAAAGCCATGTTTGCGTTTTGCATTGCTGCAAACGTAATTCGGCTATGCAGGATAACATTAGCGGGCACAAGATCACCAGTTAAAGTCGGAAAGGACCTCTCGGAGCCCTTTAATACCGAACGAGGATTCAGACAAGGTTATAGTTTGTCGTGTGACCTTTTTAACATCATGCTGGAAAAGGTTATACGAGGGACAAAGATGAACAGAAATGGCACTCTGTACACCAAACAACACATGTTACTCGCCTACGCCGATGACATCGATTTAATAGATCGAACATTGATAGCGGTAACAGCCACCTTGGAACAAATTGAGATGAGTCTGCCAAAGTGGATCTGGCAGTAAACGGCGAGAAAACCGAGCTGATGGTATCAACGCGCAAGACGTGCAGTAGACTCGGACCAACTGTGGGACTTGACAACTACAACTTCGAGGTAGTGAAATATACGAATGACACAAGTTTTGAAATTCGGAGAAGAATAGTGATGGCTAACCGAAGCAAGGCCACCTCCCGCCAGATCAAACTCACACTCTACAAGACGCTGATACTACCCGTGCTATTATATGGATCTGAAGCATGGGTACTTACGCATGCAGATGAGACAGCTCTTGGAGTGTTTGAGAGAAAAATTCTCCGAAAGATCTATGGGCCAATCTGCGTTGACGGTGAATATCACCGTCGAATGAACCATGAGTTGTACCACCTATTCTCGGACATCGACATTGTTAGACGTATTGAGCTGCAGCGACTACGTTGGCTAGATAATGTTGTGAGAATGTATGAAGATGCCCTAGCCCAGAATATAAAAGCAAACCAGCTGATGGTTCACGTAGAAGGGGAAGGCCGTGGATAGGATGGAAAGATCAAGTGATAGACAACATTGCGAACATGGTCTTTCAAATTGGAAAAACTGCGTAAAAGACCGATGCGCCTGGAAATATTTTCTAAGCTCGGCTTATGGAACGAAAGTTCTGTCACAAGTCAGCTAAGTAAGTAAATAACCATTATCGTGGATTCTTAAAAAAATATTTATTTTTAAATTAGAATTTAAAAATATATATATATTTCGTTACGCAGTCATAACCGTAGACTTAAAAAAGGCGTAGACTAAAATATTTTTTAACGTAGTCCTTTTATGGAAGATCTCTCCACACTTTCACAAAGGCTAAGAAGGTTAAAAGTTCTTCTCATATAAGGCAAACGATATTCTTCAACTTCTTTTGTAAAATAGCGTAATTTCTGTTCACACATCTATTTATCAGAAAACATTTTAAAGTATTTTCAAAAAAGGAACATGAATCCTGACCATCTATTAAAAGTAAAAGTATAAATTTCCCAAAAAAAACTGCCTCCTAATAAAATTGTCATTTTGCAAAAATTCCATTTCATTGCTTCGTATAACATTTCAATTTGTCGTCGACACGCAAAACCTTTTTGCCAACAATTCATTTCATCGTCTTTATTCAACCCAAAAACGCTTTCATTCACAAGGATGTTAATTGCATTACATTAATCACTTTAACAATCACTTGGGTTCATCATCATCATTCATTGGCAAGGCGACCAATTTTTGGGCAGTCACCTGGCCTGGTCATCTTAAATGAATTTCCAAAGGTGTGCTGTAGACGTGTCATTTCATAAATCAAGTCAGGTGGGGGGATATGTCCCCCACACAACCTCAGGCTATTTGAAATGTTAAAGTATGGTCAAAGGAAAGCAGAAAGAGGAAGTGGGAGAGGGGGAGGTCGAGGGGGAGATAAGAGAGGAAATCTCTACATTCATTATAATGAGACAATAATATTATGCATAATAATCAATTTTCCGGCAAATGACTAGTTATTACATTAATTACATGCACGTGCACCATTTTGGGGGGACTACTTTAAAGGGATAATAGGTAACATTCTGAAAATTTATTTAGGACATAGATTTCTTTATAAATATTCGATTAAGAACCTAAATAGCTGTAAATAATAGCAGAAGATTTTTAAAGAATATTTTTAAGGAATAGCGTACTGTGGGCTTGCATTTTGTAAAGTCGATTATAATAAATGTGAAAATCGGTCCAGATTTAAATATAGCTCCCATATATAGTTTCGTCCGATTTCATGTAAGTGGTGCACCAAAGTCCCTAAATAGCTCTTGATTTGCACGAAGTTTGGCATAGCGTACTGAATTTAGTCCAGACTGATGTGTGCCAAGTTTCATGAAAATCGGTTGAAATTTAGATATAGCTCCGTTATATTATAGATTGATTTTAAGTAATTGACGCTCCAAGGATCCAATATATGAGTGATAGGAACAAAATGTACTGAAAAAAATATTACGATATAACTTTCATATATATTTTCGCCCGATTTTAAGTAAATAGGACATCACACTCCATATTAAATTTTCATTCCTCGAAAGATTCATCTGGCACCCAATGAAGTACATCTTTGGTTCACCTTTTAATATAGCCTCATATTACGATACCGTCATATCTTTGACATTTTAAAGTTCTTGGCATTCCGAATGATCGCACAAAAAAGGTCAGATATAGGTTCAAGTTTTTTTAATTATATTTTAATACAATGCGATTATACCAACCCCCAAATAAAGGCCGAAGATAGGACCCAAGTTCCCACAATAGTCGTGTATTGTTAATTTTTTATAGAACCAGAGACCTGCATTTTTATCCCCTACACAACTAGGTTGTCAGGGTATTATAGGTTTCTGCAGCCTCAAGAATTTGTAACGCCGCGAAATATTGGTCCTAGACCCACCTTTAAGTATACCGACGTCATATCTCGACTAGATGAGTCGATCTAGACATGTGTGTCCGTCCGTCTGTCCATGTTAATTTGTAAACACTATACAGGCCACAGTTATGAACCAATCTTCACGAAATTTTGCATGTAGGATGGGTTCTGGTCAAATGGACCCTGACTTTTGTGTGAGAAATGACAAAATTTGTATTCTATAGCGTATATATTTACTCCTGAAGGACATAGACCCGAGAAGTTGATA